AAGAAAAAGGGAGATCGCAGTTCCGCTGCCAGCGGCCACTGCTGCCGCCGAGGGGGCTCCTTCCAGTGTCGCCTGCGCATATTTAGTTATTAGGTCTTATTTGTTCCTCCTTTAGTCTGGTTCTGTCCTCAGACACTACGTAGCCGTTTCCCCATGTTGAACTCTTAGTACCCATTTTCATGAATTGCAAATACTGATAACCAAAGAAATGCAAAGTGCTAAAAGGTGAAATCGCATTTTCATCTATCAAATAAGTAAAATTTTAAAGCTTTCCATGAGAATAGCAGATGCTGCTGCAGACGTGAGGAAACAGGGGTCCTCACCTGTGGCTTAGGGAGCGACCCTCAGATGTATCCACCTTCGCCCAGTAACTGCCCTGGGCGCGGGCGATGCTCAGGAAGAATCTAGCTACACAAAGAGGTGCCAATTACGGCACCGGCCTGTGGGGTTGTTGTGAAAGTTAAGTAAGTTCATTCATGTAAGAACTAGAATATTCCTGGCATAGAGTCTGGCTATGAGAGTTTAGCTATTTGTATAGCAAAACATTATATTTGAGTAGCAAAAAGATAACTGGGGAACAACTGATATGGCCAATGGTTTGGAACGAGAAGGAAATTCTGACACTGCTGCATAACTCAGTGGGATGCATTTTATGCAGCCATTAAAAATGGTCTCACCCTGGCCAGTTTGTCTCAGTGGTTGCAGCATCGGCCTGCAGACCGAAGGGTCAAGGGTTCGATTCCCGGTCAAGGGCACGTACCTAGGTTGCAGGGTTCGATCCCCAGCCCAGTCGGGGCGAGTGCAGGAGGCAACCAGTCCATGTGTCTCTCTCACATTGATGTTTCTCTCTCTCCTCCCCTTCCCTTCCTTCCACTCTCTCAAAAAAGTCAGTGCAAAAGAAGTTTCCTCCCGTGAGGATTAACAAAACAAAACAAAACAAAAATAGAAAGGTCTCCTTAGGTCCCCAGCCCACTTTATAATCAGACTGTTTGTTTCATTGCTCTTGAGTTGTGTGAGTTCTTCATATATTTTGGATATCTGCCCCGTATCGGAGGTATTGTTTGCAAATATTGTCTCCCATTCCATCGGATGCCTTTTTGTTTTGTTTAGTTGATGGTTTCTTTTGCTGTGCAGAAGCATTTTAGTTGGATGTAGTCCCATTTATTTTTGTTTTGTTTCCCAATAAAATTAATTTTAAGAATGATGTCTCTAAAGAGTTTGATTTGTTCTCACCAATTGCAGTATTTTGTATACGCCCTTGATTGACAACATGAATCACGGCCCGTGTGGGAAAGCCCTTCTGTTTGCTCTCGGAGAGGCGGCCCTTCATCTGCTCCCTGGCTGGGTGGGGCTCAGCGCTCTGCACCCTGAGCCTCGCACACTGTGCTGCTCCCAGCGGCAGCCTGGCTGTCACTCTGCAGAATTCTGTGCACTGCCATCCCCACCTCTACCCTGCGCTGTCCTACCTGCCCCTGGTCCCCAGCTGGGAGTCTGTGATTAGAAACATTTTTTCCTGTAATTGGGTGAATATGTCCACTCTCACTACCTGCGCATGTGAACCAAACCATCTTTTCTTGCAAATGCACTGACAAATTATCCCCAAAGCATTTGCAAAGACCCATCTCTCTTTAAAAGTCAGTTTCCATCTCCTTCCATTGTCCTCTTGGGTCTTCGCATTGACCTTGTCGTTTCTGACATTTTTTGAGGTAAAGCTGAAAATGTTTTGGGGTGGTTGTGAGTTATTTTAAGGCAGAGCTGTTAGAACTGTTCCTAGGAAAACCAGACTTGATGAATCAGTTCCAGCCAGTTTGGGCAGTGACTTCTCTGGAATTCCGCTTCCCAAACATGTTGGGAGGGCTTCCCATCTGAACCCAGTGTGATGGACAACTCCAGCTGCTGTCCCCATACTGATGGTCACATAACCCAGAGCCTGGGTAGCCTTGCCATGGGGGGGGGGGCTTGTCCTTTTGGAGCCAACAGTGAAGCCTAATTTTCTGTGCCCTATTTCCCCAAGCTATCCCCAGCACACACACACACACACACACACACACAGTGTGGGAGCAGATACCCACCACCTCGTCGAAGCCCGTATGGGGGAGCTGCGGGTTCCACTGCGGGTCCCACTGCGGGTCCCACTGTGGGTACCCCTGCTGGGTGTTGGACCAGGTCGGGTCCCACAGCTGCCGTCTCTGTCGCTTCAGGCTGCCCAGGAAGTTTTGGGCTTTGTTCTCCTCAACAGCCAGGTCCGTTTTCTTTGGAGCAGGTGCTGAAAGAGCAATTCCCACCCAGAAAGGAAAGAGCGTGGTTTGCTCTCCTGCTGGGTGAATCACTGTCATACATCCCACCAGGTGCCCAGGGGGAGGGTGGTCTGACTCAGTGTCACTCGTACAAAGAGTCCTGTTAATAAACTCGTCTGTCTGGGACCAGCCATGTAAAAGGGGTGGCTGACCCTCAGCTTCTCAGGCCCAGGGTGGAAATGAAATTCAGCTCATTCCCTGCAGCTCTCCCGTGCTCAGAGCCAGGCCTCACGCAGGGCTGATGGCTCCCCCCGGGCTCTGCATTCAGGAGACGGGTGTCTAGTCCGGCCCTGGTGCACATGCACTGTACACGCAACCAAGAGAGCACGGGGCTTGCTCAGGAAACCAGAGAGTGGAAAGGTCTGGAATGATGAGCCCTGGGGGCTGGACCAGGCCCAGCCCCATGGTGTGGCCAGTGCTCACCCAGATTGCTGGGACACACAGTGCCACCGTGGGCACCATCTCTGCCTCGGATCACTGGCAGCCACTGAGTCTGGGAGGGTCCCGGTGCTGCTCTCCCAGGCTGCCTCCCGTCTGTCTGCGTGGTCTCAGCTGCTTAAACAGCACCCCCTCGGCAGGGAGCCGCCGAGCCACTGGGTCTGCCCGCTGCCTGGTTGAGCGGGTCCCTCCTATGAAGCTGGGCTGCCGTCCCTGCCTCTGTGCTGCTACGGAGGCAGCGGGGGTGATGGGAGTGAAGTGCCTGTGTGTTCGTGGTCAGGTGGATAAATACCGGGGGTTGTTTTCACTCTTGTTCGTGTCTAATTCCCTCCGGGCCTGTTACAGCATTTGGTACACAGTAGGTGCTCGCTCCATCTGTATTTCTTGGCTTGAAATGAATCAAAGTTGAGGATGTACACCCAGGACATGTGGGTATCTGGCGGTTTCTGCTCCAGTCCCCCTTTGTCAGGCTGGCCCTGAGAGACTTTCTGTCACCCAGCTGTGCTTGGGGAGACACTGGCTGCCCAGCATGGGGAAGAAGCTCTCCGAGATGCCCCAGAGACTGCGGAGGGGCCCAGGGCCGTGGGAGCGGCTGGAAGTGCTGGGCAAGATGCCCCAGGAGCCCCCGACCCTGAGGGGGCACCCCTGCCCAGTACCTGCGGGATCCCCGAGGGGAAGCTGGAGGCCCCTTTCGGGAGCCCACTTGAACCTACTAGAGTCCCTGCTGACTCGGACAGACAAGAGTGATTAAATATTCAAGTCAGGAGTGTGTCACACTTCCTAATTTCTAAGGGACAGTTAATTTAATATTACAGGTGAGATGAAGTTCCAGGAGGGAAATGGCCTTCACAGACCACAGCGTTGGTCCCATGGACGGAGCTGATGACAGCGGGCCCAGACTGCGCTCTCCCTAGACCCTGCGCGGCTGTCCACCACGTTACCTGAGGAGCGTCCCACCAGGTGTCAGTGAGAAGACGTCTTTCCAGCTGACCCCCCCAGGAGCTAACTGCATGTGGGCCATCGGGACGGGGCAGTGCCTGCTGCCCCCGAGCTCTGCCGGCTCCAGAGTGTGCTCTGGATGAATGTGCTCTGACCGGCCCACGCTCCCGCACGAACAGCACCCGGGTCACACTGCAGCCGGCCGCTCTCATTTCCGAGTCCACACTGACAGCTTTCGGGGAACAACCTTCAGCCATCTCCTGGCAATAGTATTTATCTAATGAAACATCGCACCACACGCCCACAGAATACACTCTTTAGACTAAATATGCCTGATGCCCAAACACGAGGCTCCGGTGAGCACGCTCGGCGTGGCCATTTCACTTAATCCCGGGGAGACTGCAACCCTGACCCACGGGGGGGTATTTACCTTCCCGTCTTTGAAGCATCAGCCTGAGTTTATTTCCACTTATGGCACCTAAAGGAATGAAGACAGAAGTCAGGTTGCGCCCACCTTGATCTGGCAGCTTGATAGTATCACACTGTTTAGGGCTGTGGCTTCCCTGTTGTGCAGCAAAAGCAGCTCAGGCTGCCCATGGCTCAGCCTGGAGACGGTGACCGTGGCTGACCAAGGCCTTGATGGGATGAGCTGGTCCCTGGGAAAGGTGACATTGTTCTTTCAGCCCTTACGTCGTGTTATGAGGGCCAGTCATCTGTCACAGGTGCCCTCCTGCAGGCTTTCTCTCTTCGTGGTAGAGTGGGTGGAACTGCCCCCCAATTCATGTCCACCTGAAACCTCTGAATTGAAGTTTCCTGGAAATAGGGTCTTTGCAGACACATGAGTCAAAGCCCTCGAGGTGCTATCACACTGAATCCAGGGCGGGCTCTACACCCCAGGACTGGTGTCCTCGCCCGAAGCCGAGAGGATGCCGAAGAGGTGCCGGCAGAAGGCAGGGGCGGCAGACGTTGGGAGCTGTGCTGCCACAAGCCGACGCCTTAGCTCTAGAACTCAGCCCGGTTTGTAGTTGATCCCGATCTCCTTATAAGCAGACGTAATTGCACCATTTGCTCTTATTTTTATTCACTTCTAAAAATGTTTCTCAGCAGCCCAGTCCTTTCAATGGAAAACAACGCGTCTGGCCTGATAGGACCCCTCCGGGTGTGAGGACCCGTCCACGCCTCTGGTCCTTAGGTGAACCTGTCAGCACAAGGCCTGTCCTCTGAGGGGAACAAAGCCCCGGGACAGCCCAGCCTCTCAGGTAGGGAGCAAGGTAGCTCCAGGTGTCAGGAGCTAGTCTGGCCCCAGGAAGGAGACAGGCACTGAGGGGAGGTGCGCACTTTCTTGGGCAGGTACTCAGCCTCCCTCTCTCTCCATGGTCAGGTCCCAAGGCCTGGATTTCTACCTTCAAGGGTACAGTTTTCTGGGGAAAGAAGCCTAAGCTCTCAGAAGTGTCTGGCACCCACATGAGATTAAGAACCCTGCTGAAAGAATTTGCTAGGTAGTTCACTAGGGGAAAA